TAGGAATATAATCAAGTAATTCAATACATATTATTGAATTATTTGTCCCTTTTGCATTGATTAAAATATCAACTTCATCATGTATTAAATTGTTCTATATATTTGGGTCTATTTACTAACTTCCTAAATTTGTTCTACTAGGTTGTCTCTGTTACTGTTATAAAATTTTTTTAAAAAATTATTTTCTATTTATCAGTGGCATATAAAAGAGCATTTTATATTGATTCTGTAGCAGTAATCTTTAAAAATTCATCTTTTTTTTGGGGGGGGGGGTAACAAGGATTGAACCCAGGGTGTTTAACCACTAAGCCATATGCACAGCCCTTTTTAAAAGTTTTATCTTGAGACAGGGTCTCTCTACCATGCCCAACTCCTTTTTTAAATTTTTCAAATTTTAAAGCAATTTTGCACTCCAGAAAATAAATCTACTTGGTCATTATATATTGTCTTCCTTTTAGTAAGCTGAATTAATTTTATTTAGAATATTTGCATATGTTTTTATGAGTAAGATAGAACTGTAAGTGTGTGTGTGCATGGGTGTGTGATGTTCTTATCAGTATCAGGTTTTGGTATTTTTACAGTCCTGCTGGATTCAAAACCTGAGTCAGGAAATATTCCCTCTTTTTCTTCTCTCTGGATGAGTTTGTATTAAGTTGGCATTATTTCTTTCCCAAATATTTGGAAGAATCTACTGGTCATGCAGTGAGACTGCTTTTATTTTATTTTTTAATTTATTAACTTAAATATAGTCTATGGATTCAGTTTGAATGACTGGAACCATCTTAGGTGATAACTGCCATGATTACCCTAGAATAACCCAGAGTTGTCTGCCAAATTATAAACAGATAAAACCATTACAGAGGTATGTGGAACTTTACAACTAGACCTTTGTGTCAGGAATGTGCTTGACTCTTTGATATGAGCTTAAGATAAACATTCCAGGTACATTCCAGCTAGGAAGAAGTAACTTTTGTCCTAATCCATATGTATGGCTCTCCTTTGACACACATTACAAGGACCCAACAGGTCTTGTTGCCATCCAGCAATCCTGGATTTATCTATCTACCTTTCTTTCTTTGGTGTCCCAGCATGTTGGGGCTAGTCCTCACATGATAAACTGGGTTGTTCCAGAACACATAGCCTGTTCTATTTAGTTTTGTTTTGCTTTTTGTCTGTTTTTTGAAAAAATTGTCCATATAATTCAATTTATTGTATTTTGATATCATATTATCAATAATATCCTCTTCCCTTATTTTTTAAATATTTCTGATAAAGAATTAAATATATAGAATATTAAGCAATTTCTATAACTAACAACAAGACAATCAAATAAGTGAACTGAGAATACAAATGGATATTAATCCAAAGGTAATATAGAAATGGACAACAAGCATATGAAAAGATGCTCTGAATCATTAATCATTAGTGAAATGCAAAGCAAAACCACAATGAGATATCTCACACCTAATTAGGATGACTACTATGAAAAGAAACACAACAGAAATTAACAAGTGTTGGAGGGGATATGGAGAAATTGGAATCCCTTTGCACTGTTGATGGGATTATGACATGGCACAACCATTATGGAAAACATTATGGTGTTTTCTCCAAAATTTAAAAATAGAAGTACCACATGATCTAGCAATACCATTGCTAAATATATATCCAAAAGATTTGAAGGCAAGGTATCAAAGAAAAATTTGCATACCCATGTTCATAGCCACACAATTCACAATAGCAAAACATAGAAGCAACCCTAGTGTTCATTGACAGATAAGTGGTTAAAGAAATGTGAAAGAATTGAATAATATGCAGACTTAAAATAAAAAAGAAATTATTTTATACGTTATGACATGGATGAACTTGAAGACACTATGCTAAGTGAAATAAGCCAGTCCCAAAAGACAACTACTATATGATTCCACATACATGGAGTATCTAAAGTAGTCAAATTCATAGAAATAGAAAATAGAATGGTGGTTATCAGGGGCTTGGAGGAAGGGGAAATGGAGAAGTATTATTTAATAGGTATAGAGTTTGATATTGCAATATGAAATTTTTTGGAGGTATGTTTAAATAATTTCAAGTTTAAATAATTTAAGTATAGACACCTACCAAACAGTATTTTTAAAAATGATTAAGGTGGCATATGTTATGATGTGTGTTTCTTACCACAATGAGAAAAAAATAGATCCAAGTTGAACTTTTAGACATATGGATGAAAAATATAATAGATGGGATGGAATAGCATTAACAGTAGATTAGATGCTGCAGAAGAAAAGACTAGTGAGTTTGGAAGAAAAAAATATAAACTTCCCAAAGTTAAATAGAGGAAAAAAATGAAGAAAGCATTAGTGAGAGGAAGGACAACATCAAGAGAACTAATATGTTTAACTCTATCTAGTCCCAGAAAAAAGGAAGGGATGTAAAACATATATGAAGACATAATAGTTGACAGAAGTTGTTGAAGGAACTGGGGATGAAGGTGGAGAAAGATGGCTTATCATCATCTTCAGCCATTTAAGAAAAGGTTGACGCATGGAAAAAAAGATCAGAACTCTCTCCTAGGGCTTACGAGGCAGGACCAAGGCAAAACTAGGAGCTAGGAAGAGGCACTTGAGTCTGATGTGATAAAAAGTTTCCCCAGACCAGTTGCCCAGCAGTAGACAGAGCTAATGTTTTGCAGGCTTGGAGACATTCTAGCAAAGTTACACAACCCCTTGGCAGAGCATGCTGGGAGAAGTCCACTAACAGATGGGAGGGCTGGCCCCAATGGATGACTTCCAAAGTTCTTCCTAGCCAGCGATTAGAATCTTCTGGGTTGTTGGGGGAATACCCATTGTTCCCTTTTTCAGAGTAATCAGTTCCATCTGTTCTTATGCTTGGTAATGAAAAGACACACCAGGGGCTGGAAAATGGAGCATCCCACTCAAAAGAAACTTTGCTAAGAAGAAATCATTGGTTCCTATCTCTTCTTTGAACCAACAAGACTTTTAGACTTCATTCTCCCACCCTCCTCACCTATAAAATGAAAGGTTTGAATCTAAGGTCACGTTGAGCTCTCACAGTTTATGACTGCAATTTTTTTTTAAAGTTGTTTGCCTTCTGCTCACTGTATATTATCAGTTCAGTTTTTCTTCACATAAAAATCTGTGTCTTTTAGTTTTGCTCTGTTTGGTTTATTTTCAGATGGAGGAACTTGAGCAGTGTTTTTAGCCTTGTCATGCAAAAGATGGGAATCTCCGTATTCTGCATGTGAGCAATGCTACAAAGGAGGCTCAGGGATAGTGGAATATGAATAGCCAGTGCTTGGATGTAGAGATAAGAAGAGTAACAAGAGATTTTGCTCCCACATAAATGGAGTTCACAGAGTTGTCTTGTGTAAACTAAGTAGGAAGATGGACTCAATGAAAACAGACATTCATAGATGAACATGACCCACCCTGACTTGACCATTACACCATGTGGACATGTATCAAATTATCACACTGTATGCCATAAATATGTACAAATAAATGTAACAGTAATAATAATAAATAAGAACACGAGCTTTCACGTCACCATCATTGATTTTCCCTCCTCACGACAGCACCTGTGAAAGCTTTAATTATGCTCACAGAATATATACAAGAATCACTTCACTCTTTAGTGGCTCAACCTGAGTTGAGACTGTGATACAACCAAGGTCACTATTTTATTTGACAGGTAATGGGATCCACAGGACTCGGAGGACCCTGAAGCTAAAGAAGGAAGCCCCTCTGTCTCACAAACTTCTGTGCAATTCTCCTGTATCCTCTCAGGGAAACTGTTGTGTGACTGTGCTTAGGAGAGTGTCTGTCCACAGATACCACTGAGAGCCTGGTTGACCTTTGTAACTACTGTTTCCCACCATTACTCCAGTAAGAAAGTGGGGCATGGGATTGTGCCCATTTTACAGACAGGAAACTGAGCATCACCTTACAGAAGATGATGATTGTCCTTGCCTCTTTTATTCTTGGGAATTTCAAGCATGTCTACTGTCTCCTTCTACCCTTCCTGTGTGTAGAAGCATCAAAATGGCTAATGATGGATACTCAACTCCGAGTTGTAAGGATTTCAGGCAGAGTAACTACACTCTGGATCATCACCTATGAAAGGACACTCAGAGGCCACAGGGAGGTCCTGAAGGCTCTTACTGGTGGGTGAAATGAGAACAGCACTGAGCTACAGTGGCAGGTTCCAAATCTAGTTTTCCTAGCCTTTTGCCAAGGAGCCTTCAAGATCTCAAGTGAGGGGATACTGAGTTACCCCATGGGACTGGCGTACAAGGGAAGGGTATAAGGAGGTCTCCTGCTAGGATTTCTGTGCTTCAGGAGGTTCTCAGTCCCACTCCTCCATTTCAGGACCCCAAGGAGAGGAGGCGTGGGGGTGAAGGGAGATGCCCTGATACACCTAAAAGCTTTTTCTTCTCAGTACATATTCTCAAGGTCACCTTGCCTAAGATGTGTGGGATGATACTAGCAATATTATCTAAGTCTTTTTAAGCTGCTAGAACAAAATACCATAAATAAATGGCTTATAAACAACAGAAACTTATTTTTCATAGCATGGCAGATTGGGTATCTGGTGGGACACCTACTCTTCCTGTTTTGCAGACATCACTTTTTTATTGAGTCCTCACATGGTGGGAGGAGCAAGGGATTTTTTTTTAGGCCTCTTTTTATAAGGTTACCAATCTCATTTATCTGCTTTTATGACCTAGTCACCTCTTAAAGGGCTCATGACCTAACACCATCCCCTTGGTGGTTAGGATTTCAAGATACAAATTTTAGGGGGTACACAAACATTCATATCACAGCAAACACTCCACAGATTACACTAGAGTAAGGACTTGTTGAAACATTTTGTTTACCTGAAGTTTCACTCTAGGGCCTGAGTCCTTTATGGGCTACTGTATTAGTCAGTGTTCTCTAGAGGAACACAACCAACAACACTGTTATTTATGAAGGCGGGTTTCTTAGATTGTTTTACAGGATCAGAAACTGGATAGTCCACAATGGCGGTCTTCAGAATGGAAAGCTAGAGGCATCCATCGCTGCCCAGTCCAAGAAGTTGGAGCCTCAGAGGAAGAAACACCAATGGTGTAATCCCATCAGGGCCTGGGGGCCTGAGAACTCCCTGTGGAGAGTCACTGGTCAGAATCCCCTTTAGAAGAGTGAAAGAACTAGAATGTGATGTCCTCGGGTGATTGGAACACGAGTTCAAAGACCTACCCTAGAGAAAGAAAGAGAAAATGGTGCTATATCCACATTGGCTTCCTTTTTCTTTTGGTCTCCATCTGTTCAAGCCCAAGCCCATTGGGCTATATTCCCCACATTCAGGGTGGGACTGTGCCCTCAATTTGCTATCCCACACATCAATAATCTCTGAAAACGCCCTCATCAATACACACAAAATCACTTCCATATTAACTCTTACAGCTATACTCAAATACATATATGAACAAGACAGCCATTTACATTTAGAACTTTGCCACCATTCTTATGTGTGGCAACTGGATATCAAGTGGGTGGAGGGTGGGGAAATAAGCTGGAGCATAAGGCCCTGAGTACTGAAGAACTCACTCTCATTTGTCTTCACCAGAGACTGTGTTCTCCCACCTACTTATACAACAAGCCCTCGTCCCTATTTGTGGGATGCAGACATAATACTGAGAATGTAGTAGGTGATCTCCTTTTACCTCCCCAGTTATAGAGCAACACAAAGTCATTATGATCCAAAAATCTCAATGGCCAAGGAAAATGTCCTTCACCCTCATAGAGTTGTGGGCATATGTCCTGCTTGTCCTTCCCCTCTCAAAAAGCATCACCTCCCCTTCTCCCAACATCCACAATTCCAAGAAACTCCTCTTTTCTTAGCCAAATCCATGTTCCCAGCTAGGAGAAGAAAGGAAGTTCTCTCGCTGTACACAAGACCGTACCAAAATAATAAAGTCCAGTTTGGATGTCCACCACAGCTGCTTTGTGGCCAAGCAGCTGAGAACTGAGGCACCCCACTGCCAAATGCAATCAGCACAGATTTCTCTCTTCAACTGTGACCAAGGCAGATGGGCCCCGTAGGCCCTGTTGAGACCAGTGCTAAGTCAATTGAGAACATTGCAGCCACTTTAAATACTCTTTTCACTACTTTTTAACATGACTTTTTTCCATAAAGTTGTAAAGAGGCCAACAAGTGTTTTCTAAATCCAATGTCTACCTGCTCCCTCACGGAATGCTCTGTCCTTTCAAAGGATCTTTGACTGCAAACTTGATCCCCACTTTGGGAATACTTGTTAAAACAGAACAAAGTTTATCCTGGCTATTTCTATCATATTTTCAAACATTGGGTCCCTAAAAGCTGAGTTAATCATTCACAGGATTAACTACACTTTAAAAGTTAATGGTTAATTACAAAAAAAAAAAAAAAAAGTACTTATGGTCTTGGTTCTTCCTGAAACCAGATTGTGGACACAAAGTTCTAGAGAGAAATCAACCAATACTAACTAGATAGGAAACAGACTATAAACTCATTACCAACATTGGGCCTATAATAGCTATAAACCTCTTACAACTGAATGCAGCCTTGTATGTTCTCAGAATATGAATAGTGTTTACAAAACAGTTATCTCAAAACCAATACTCAAAATAGTGCAATAAAAAATAAGCAACTTAGTGGCCTTTATTCTCAAAGAGCTAGATTATCCACTTGCAGTTTTCAGGGAAAGAAACTGTGTGAACGAAAAGACAGAATTCAGCTGTGCAGCAAAGTGGATATGATTTGAAGTGTGGTGCTGAATTCCCTGCTTAGAGTTCCAAGCATTAAGGACCTGAGAGGATATAAAATGAAGACTACTGCAAACACCAAGCAAATGCTTAGGGAACACTGAGATAAACCATTCTTTCCATCTTTCAAGAAATTGGTTACTATGGTAGAGAAAATGGATTCTTTTGTCCCAGTAATTTTCCTCTTCAAGATAACTAATCTCTTTCATGTATAAAAACATAATACATTTATATTATAAAAGGGGATGGTGACACAAAAGTCAATTGCAAATTTTACAGTGACTTTAATTCCCCTTCAGAACACCAGTTATCTCATCTTAGACATATTTCAAATGGTTCTTGATCTTAGAGAATCCTGTGGCTTTGAGAAAGAGTATCAGGGGTAAAGAGCTAATTTAGATATTGTTAGCACAAACTTCACAGATCCTCTCAGCCTTTTATTCAGAAACAAGATTGCACCCATGAGAATGGACCTACTCTCTAATAGAAAATGAGCCACTGGCCAAAAGAGGAGTTTGAGCTTTTATAGGTTAGACTGAGAGGTGATTTAGTGAGCATGTCAGTTTGGAGACTCAGGAATTTGGGTTTTGGGGTTGGAAGTCAGTGGCCAGTATCTGGAGAGGATTTATGTAGGAAAAGATTAGTGTTTCCCAGAGACTATCATTCTAGGTTTGATGAAACACTTTTTCCCCACCAGTGGACAGCATCTGAAAAGGATTTATCTTGAAAGAGATTAAAGGTATCAAGGTATGACTTTGTTTTCCACTCCCCTTTCCCAGTCCACATTATCTTGGGGTTTTCCATTTCCCATATCTAACAGATATTAAGAAAGCAAGTGTTCCTGTCTGCCCCCCCGGCCTTGATATGAATGCAGAGAACAACAAAAAGTCATTGCACAATAGGCAGGAGTGTACATTAAATAGTTGTAGAAATCTGGGCAAAAGATGGAGGAATGCGCCAGATCATGCTTACTGTTAGACCAGGACACAAGACAAGACTACTGACTCTAATTAAAATCAAATTAAAGCAAGCTTATTATTTCGACCGGCCGGGCTGCCTCTCCCACCCAAAACCGCGGGAACAAGACAGCAGCCTCAGCTTTCCTGCAGCCCAGCTTTATAGCCCAGAAAGTTACACAAAGGGGGGTTACAGATAACAAAACTCTGAGAAGCATAACACAAATGGTAGTTTACATTATTGCTGGCCCCGACATCAGAATTTATGAAGGTCATTAGAGCCTCAGAGAGGGTCCTTATCTGGCCAGGGAAGGCCAAGATTTGTGAGGCATCACTAAAGTTTCAGAGAGGGCTACTATCTGGTCAGAGAGCCAGGCATGGGTGAGTTCAAGGCACGGGCAGACATTCCAAGCAGGTTCAGAATTTGCAGTAATTTATAGTAAAGCCGAAATTATCGTTTCATGGCTTTGTGGCGAGATGGCTCCAAATTTTAAAAATCAGGTTGGGTCTATCACTTACAAGAAGAGGAAAAGGGACCATCACATTCCCTATTTAGGAGGTACTACCAGGAGGCCTTGATGATTTATTAACTTGGAGACTCCTGCACAATGCTTTCCAAGTTTTCATGTTGAGTGCGTAGGTGATTGGTGGGGCCACAATTAGAGAACTCAGGAAGCAGATCAACCTTGGAGGGGAAGAGGGTCTTAGTTTTGGTCATGTCAGTTTTGAGTCTCCATGAACACCTAGATGCTTGTTGACAATAACTGAGGATTGTACCCATTGAGTTGAGGTCAACATGGCAAGCTATTCTTAGAGCAAAGCGCTAGAGATGGACATTTGGTGACATTTCCATTTGGCAAATTTTGAAAAGGAGAAAAATAATCTTGGTAAAAGAGTGAAGAGACCTTGTTTTAGATATCTCCTAAGTGGGGTGAGGAGACTTCAAGAAATGATCATGTAATTTTGCTTTTAGTGTCTCTTACTATTCCCATAGCACCATGGGAAATGTACTGACACCAAAGAAACACTTCTGCCCTCCTCTATTCAAGTCTTCAGTCTGGCAACCATGGTTCCTTGAGCCTCCAATGTAGTGACTCACTGTTGGGAAGTAATTCAGCATCTTCTTTTTACCTTACTACAATTAGAGCAAATGATTCAGATGAAATATTCCTTATGATTCAATCACTTAAAGGAACAGCCCAAATCAGGATTAAGATTCTGCTGTACCATACATCTTATAAGCAAGCAGGGCTTAGTACTAAGTTCAAAGTCCTGGAACCAAGGCCACTCTTGTTTTTTTTTTTTTTTCTCCTGAGGGATTTAAGCCTTTGACCAGGCTGACTCTTGTGTCTTCCTGGGGAGAGCTATTTCTCTGATTCCCATTTTCCAGACTAATGCCCTAAATAAATCCTTTATTTTGAAGCACTGAATTGAAAGTGTTTTAAAACCTTTTGTTTCTAAAGAGACAATCCCCAGTCTTCAAAATGAAGAGAAACCAAGTTTATGATTATTTCAAGCACTCATTCTAGTTAGAGCCTTTGAGAATTGGAGCTATAAAGAACCTCAGGAAACAGGTGCTCAGGATTTCAGTTAGAGGTGGAACTAGGATCATACTCAGGCTGTGTCCATCAAGCCACCATCTCCTGTTCTCACCTGAAACTGTAATCTACTATCTTCAATATTTGCACTTTTTTTTTTTAAATGGGAAAGCTTACTTTTTAAACAGCCTTGCTGGATGAATAGTACTTAACTTGATCCATGCCAGGCAGTTATGGGATCATATGGTTCTTTGCCAAAACTTGCATTGAAACATAAAATACTAGTGAAGTTAAAAGGCCATATCTATTTTTTCAAATGTGCACTTGTCAATCCAAGTAAAAATTATTTTTAATTAAACTGTTCACTTAAATTCTAAGTAAAGTTCTTGTTCATTCACAGTAGAGGAAAGATAATATAGATGTCAGTGCAGTTGTAGCAAACTGAAAACACTTTTTGCTAAATGAAGTCATCTCTAAGTAAATAGAGACTTAAAGATTTATAATCCTACTTTATTAAAATGAATATTATGATAAATATTGTAAATTACTCCATCCTGTGCTCTGTTTAAGTGATATTATAATATATATATATATATTTTTTTATAAGACATTAATAATGTTGGCAGATAGCCTCATATGCCCTTAGGTTATACTTTTCCAGTTTCACCAAGTTATATGCTGATAATTCTAAAAGTTAATCACTTAAAAATCTACTTTTCCCTAAATTCTCACAATTTCTTAATCTAATCAAATAATGTGTACAATGTAATGAGCTCATTTCACAACATACTTTAAGTTAATTTATAACAGGTGTTTAAAAAAATTTATATTCAAATCCAGAGAATAGTTACAAAGTGTTCAATGAATATTACTTTAGGAAATATACTTACTATACCATCTGCTTTAAGTCATAGCAGTTGATTAAAACTTTTTGAAAAAACATCATTATTTCATCACACAAATGTGTGAGTGAGAAAAAGGAAAAAGAAGTTTTATTGCTTTACTAACAAAGGAGAAGCACAGGGACTCCTGTCCCAGAGGCTGTGATTCTGCCCATCAGCAGGAACAGGGGACTTTTAAAGAGGTGATTCAAAGGCTACAGTCCATGTGTCCTCTGTCTGAAGTTGTAATTCACTTGTGAATTTGAGCGATAGTCATTTCTGAGATTTTTCTGGTGCCTTTCCTAAAGTCGGAATTACTTGATTCCTGTAGACAGACAATTCTGCCTAGGATGGGAAGGAAAGGTAATCCTGTTTCCCCTGAAACTAGGGAGAAGGAGAGATTAGGGAGAAGCAGGGAGAGAGGAAGAGAAAGAAACATGTCGTTTTAAAAATAAGCCACAGTGGCAGAGCAGCAAGGGCTATATTCAAAGAATAAAGTGGACCACTGTTGCGTTTCCACACTGTCAATTTCTACATTCCATGTCCATGGAAAATGGGTGAGGACATCTCCAAGCTGCTCCCTGCTGAGAGGGCAAAGTTGGGGGAAGTGACCCAAAGTCCTTGTTCTTTATCAGGTTGGGCATGGACAATTAATGGTATCCAGTATCAGGGCAGTCCAGAGGTCCATAGTAGCAGTTGATGAGTAACTGGACAAGGTTATATAGGGCAGGGATTATGCTGAGACAATAAACAAGATAGGAAAACATTACTTTTTTTGTAAACAATTAACACAAAACAATTATTATTTCACTCAGTCTCTGAAAACCACAAAGATAGTAACTCATAATCATATCAGTGAAAAACAGATCAAGTTACTTTATGTAGGAAGTTAGGAAGATTTTGTAGGTTTGAGATCAGGCTCAAATTGACTCAGGACAAACCTGTGACTCTAGAATCCTTTGTGATCATTTTTATTAGGCACTTCTCCACAAAAAACCCTTGCTTTCTAGCCTCCAGCTTTACTTGCTTTAGATAAGGCTGTACAAGTATGTATCTTAAGTTATATTTTAAAAATTATTCCTTCTATATGTTCATGTAGCACTGTGTTTTAGCTATACCCTTCTGCGAGGTGTTTAAGACCAAGTTGGACAACACTAATCTTGTTCCTATCTACCTTTAAGAGTCAGCTGAAATTCCTCAGGGATCATTCTTGGATGTGTCTGAAGCTTCTAGGATCCTCTACCAGTGGTGCCATCTGCTAGGATAGGTCAGTGTCTTGTTGGCCATATGTGGCTTCTCTTAGAAGCCTCAGGGACATTTCCCTCTCCAATGGCCCTGACCCTCTAAAGTCAGCCACAGAATCTTTGCGGTTGGCTTCCTGATCTCTAGTGTCCTCTCAATTTCTCTGATTGGCAGATTGGGTGACTCTCTGGATCTGCAGGGACTTTAGAGAGGTCCTCTCATTCTCTGGACCATGGCTGACTTTAGAGGGCAAGGGCCAAAATGTTGGCCCTTTTATGTCCTTGACTTTGGTCTACAAGTTTTTGGATATAATTACCCAGAAGACGAGTTTTATCAGTCTTAAAGTGGGAATAACAGGTTATAACTTCCATATCTGTAATTTTACAGTTATCCTTTTCATTTAATTGGGGTCAGTATTAGTAGTGGAAACCAGGATTATGTCCTGTCTGTTCTGTAGGTGATGACTTATTGTCATAAATTAGTTCAGGTTGTTCTGTTAGAAGTATTATTTCTGCAAAACATTAACAGGCAACAGTTATAAGGTTTTACAAGGGAAACACAAAACAAACAGTAATGAACCTTTGATGCCTATTTAGCCTCTACAAAAACCCATATATATAGCAAGTCAGTTACATACGAGTTTTACTTGCTTTTAAAACTCTTTTACAAACCTAAATACCTTTTACAATTTACCCAAAACTTTACTTAAGTTTTCTATTATATCCCCTGTTTAACTTTGACATCGAAGTAATCTTTACAACAACAACAGCAACAAAAACCTATCCTTGGAACACAACTTTAAATGAGCTTAATTTTAGCAAATATATGTTTTTTAAAATATAAAATTACAGCTTTGGAAAATCTCCTGGTAACTCCCACATGCTCAGAAACTAAATCTTTATGAAAGTTGTCAACCTTTATAAAGATTCTAAGTGAAATCTTCTACTTCTCTTGTATTTTGAGACACATCCATAATCTCAGAGGAGAGATTTGTAAGAAGGAGAGCTCCAGGTCACCATCTTAAAACACAGGGCTCTTGTCACTTAGGATCTCAAAACGTCAGGACAGTTCGAATGCTGAAATGTAAAATGAGAATTTTTAGTGATTTGTTTACATTTTTTTTAAATAAGAGTAGTTTACACAATTGTTCTTCCTGTTATAGAAAATTCAAGTAAATCCTATTATTGGAAAACCAACTGGGCTTGAGGTCCTCGTCAATTATTTTTCTTTCTGTGCACCTCTGATAAACTCTGATAAAGGTCTGTGAGCTGATTCTGGAAGCATCAGTGTCGTTGCCATAAGTTGACTAGAGGATAGGGGCTTTCAGGCTGAAGAGAGCACAATTAGGGCTGAGGATGGGACAATAGGAAGGACAATCCCAGGTGCTTAGACTTCTGGATGTTCAAGAGATTGTAAAAGTAGACAAAACTTATTTTCCTACTTTATCCCTAGGACTTTGTGCAAAGACTACAAAAAATGGGTGCTAAATTCTTAGTTATTAAAAGATTAGATGAATTAATAAATAAAAATAGTCTTTGACTCAATAATGAAGGCTTTCTAAACAGTGCTCAGGCATTTACATTTTGGTGCAACCTAAACTTAGCACCTTAGTAAAGGACTGATGAATATGGGAAAACATAGAAAACAGCAGACCTATTATTAAGCCACTGTGTTAACATGTTCATATGAGCCATGATCAGACTGAGCTAAGGCTATGAAGGTTGGCAATAAAGAGGGAGCCATGCTGGAGAAGAAATGAGGGGCTGCACCTCAGGGCTTAACATTGGTTTGTTGATGGCAGGAGAAGTAGAAGAGAAGTCAGACATGATGCTATAGCTTCTAGTCTGTGAAAGTAGAATAAGTGATATTATTTTGCTGAAATAAGATATGCTATGAAAGAATTCTTTGGGGGTGAAATTGAGGTGAATGGGACATTCAAGTAGAGGTATGCAGGAAGTAGATGGAAATTAAAGGGTGTGGGCTTACAAATGTAAGTGGGTTATTTTCTTTTTTATTGTTTTTTTTTAGTTATATATAACCACAGAATCCATTTTGATCTAGTTATACAAGCATGGAATATATCTTATTCTAGGAGTCACTGAATTAGGGTGACATTAGAAGCAAAACTTCTGAAAGCAGAATTTGTTTCTTTGGAAAACAATAGTGATTATTTTTAATAATTTTTGTCAACAATAAAATAAATAATATAATATGTTAATATGTAATATAATAATACAATAAACAATATAATAAAAATAAAATAATTTTAATAACAATAGTAACTATTATAATCTGTAAGTTTATCTGAATATAGGTGTATTGGGTACTGACAGTTTTTCTGACAGAGGTCCATGGTTTACTTGTTTAAAAATAATTCACATGTGTGCTCATAATATCATAATCCTGTAGACTATACCAGATGTAGAAACAAGACACAACATTGAAAAAGCACTTGGGAAAAATTGGTGAAAATTTGGATCTCAAATTAATGTACATTTCCTTTTACTAATGAAATCCAAGTCCTTGGCACATCACAGATGCTCAAAAAATATTTATGAACCCAATGAATGATATCTCACAGAGAGGCTTTTTAGTTGCTGATCCAGGTAATCATAGGTAAATGCACATGAAATTTGTGTGAATTCTTTGTATTCCACCTTTACTCTTTCCCAACCCTCAGAAGCTACAAGAGAAACCACTTTGAGAATGCCCACATTTACCTGGAGCTTGCCAAGCCCTGCCAGAGAAGTTTGGCACATGGTGAACAGAACAAAGGCTTTGCAATGAGTTTGCATCCTGGTACTGCTCTTAGGCTAGATATGTTATTTGTTTGCCTCTCAGGACTTGAGTTTTGTCAACTAAAAACTGGAATAATAATATTTGATCTACAAGGATCCAAAGAAAGCACATTTGAAAAATCACTTTGAAAACTGTAATGGAAGGGAATTGTGTGGTATTACTTGAATAACCTAACAGCTTTATGATAAAATTAAATAACTGTGGTGAAATCAATCTGGTGTTAAAAAAAAAGTTCAGAGAATATTTAGATTAGTATAAAAAATAGATACCTTTGCCCTGAATAGAGCAGTTCAAATCCTTCATTGATTTTTTTAAATGGTAAAACATGGCTTATCAGCTGGTTGAGGTCAAATTTCTTTGCCAGGAAATCAGTCACTAGTTTGGGTACATCGTCTCTGCTTTTCCAACCTGTAAACAAGCACATAATCTTCTCTTTAAACTTCACTAAATGATCTTTTATTATTTTATATTTATGCCTCCTCTCTCCTGCTTTGCTACCTGCCCCCACATTGGAACAGCATATAAATGAGGTGTTTTTCTCCCATCTTCAGAATCAAAGGCTAAAACACCTTTCATAATCCCTGTACATCCTCCCAGCTGCCCCATATCTTACTCCCATTGCCAATAAACCACAGAAAGAGCTGTTTCCTACATCCTGTTTCTGGTTCCAGTTCCTTTCATTCTCTCACGAGCCCACTTTGATCTGGCTCTTTTCCCCAGCACACAGGTAAAACAGCTCTGTCAAGGTCATGCTTGGTCTCCACTGTGACACAGTAGTCAGCTCTGAGTCCTGGATTTAGATGGACTATGAGGTGAATTTGTTGGAGGCTCCCTTCTTCTCCCCCCATTCACTTGGTTTCTAATTGCCATCATAGTTCGCCCACCTCACATTAGAAAACAAGAACTCTTCTGAATCTCCTACATTTCACCAACCTCTCACTCGCCTGTGCCCCAGGGCTTGGTTCTCACACCCTTTCTCCTTGCTAACTACTTTCACTCCAGCTTCATGGCTTCTAATACATTTGTTTTGAAATTTTTTTCCTTAATACTTATATTTGCATTTTTCAATAAATTATGTACTTCTAATTGAAGAATAACCATTTTTTTCCTTTTTATGTTCTTAACAAGTTCTTGAATAGTTATTATTCACTTAAGTGGTATGAGGCGTTATGAGGCTGTTTGTAATATTGGAAGTGCATCCAAAGCACCTGATAAAATTCTAAATGGAAGACACTGAAAACTGAGACCCAAGGAGGAGAGGAATAACAGGATTCACTGTGTCACCAACCCAGGAGGGGGAAGCTCTTGTCCTTTCTTCATGGCTTTCTCATTCTGGTATGAATCTGCACTGTCCCTAAAGAATGCAATAATTCCTTTTTGTTTGTTTATTTTGGTTTGGGGTTCAGAACTTTTCCTGATGTTATTGTGAATTTGCTAAATTCTGTTTTTCACACACATTCTGTGTCTTTGGAGAATAAAAAGTTACATCAGAACTAACTATCCCATAAGTCATTCCAATAGAGCCACTTGGTGCCTTTTATTCGGGCCTTTGGGGAACTCGACTTGCACATGCTAATATTAAAAATGTGTGGGGTTGGGGATGTGGCTCAAGTGGTAGTGGGCTGACCTGGCATGCGTGAGGCACTGGGTTCCATCCTCAGCACCACATAAAAATAAATAAAGATATTGTGTCGACCCAAAACAAAAAACAAAACAAAACAAAATTATGCCCACCATTATTAGCCCTAAGTCAAGGCGAGGACTCGATAATCATCTTTTGTGTGTTGTGGTCACAGTTCCACTTTAGATCATTTCATACTCATCCTTAGAAGGAAGATTTGTAAGGACAATGTGATGACATACCAGGCTTCTCTCACTTGCCAACCAACAGAGGGAAAGCCATCATGCCCTGTCCAGAGGCTCTACTGTCCTCACCTCCAAAGACGCACCCCTTCCATGTGCGCCCAGTGAGGAGCAGCATCGGGTCAAAGCTGAGCATCTTGGCTGATGGAGGAGCACCTACCACCACACTGGTCCCATAGTTCACATGGCAGGACGCCAGGGCATCGACCTGAATGGAGAATGAAGGAGATGGTCTGCTTCTTAGTTCTCTTATAATATTTCATGGGATCAGAAATGACCTATGAACTAACTCTCATCGTTCTGGTAATTAGCTCAGTTTCCAAGTCATGAAATTAAATTAGGCCCACAGGCCTTTCATTTTCTGCTTGCTTTTAAAATTCTCAATGTAACTTAAGTCCTTAATTAAACTCCTACACACATTTTCATTTTGAAGCATAAGGCAGTAATTAATGTGGTCATATCCAGGAAGTTTTTAGTGTACCATAAACTGAAAACGTGGGAAATCCTTGTGATGTTTTCTTTCTAACATCACCACTTCAGATAAGCCTTAAGAAGTCATTTGCACTTAATGAAATTGAATTAGTCAATTAGTATAGTTTTTTTAAGTTTAATATGAAAATGTGAACAAAGTAAAGTCTCTCTCTCTCTCTCTCTCTCTCTCTCTCTCTCTCTCTCTGGCAATATCTGAGTCTAGCCTCATATTTTCTGGTCATTTACCAATTCTATTATTTATTAATAGCATGTTTTAGTTCTTGCTAGATTGTAACAACAAATGTTGGTATTTTTCAGAGACCAATGTTCCTCAAAGCACCATCTGCAAATCAGTAGAACCTAATAATATGTCCAGTATTGCATATTGCCTGGTGAACACACCACACACACCTAGAGTACTATTTGTTGCTATGGAATTTCCTAAGTGTTATTAGAAAAGCGATATGGCAATAATAGTAAGTTAAAGGCTACTTATCCCTAAATCACCAAAAGCCTTAAAGGAAATATACTGCATACTCAAAAGTGGTTTAGTTTCATTTTCTAGGCCTCCCTAACCTACCCCAGGTCAGGGATTTCTCATTCCCCAGAAGCTCTGGATTTCACGGATCTAGATGGGGTCTGGTGCTGCTGGCTGCCACAGAGGAGGCATGTTTTAGAATACTAAAGGAACATATTCTAAAAGCATATAGACAAAGGTGAAAAGAACAAGAAGATGATAGATCATGGATTTGGGGGGAAGAGATGGCAGCGTTTAGAACAGTCCCTTTTCCCTGAAGCTTCTCATATCTCTCCTCAAGAAGTCACCTTGTGATACTTGGATTGTTAAATAAAATTCCAGAAATGGAATCGCCTTTGCCAAGAATCCCACACATACAAGGAAGACAACACTTGAAAAATCTATATTGATGGGTCGATTACCTTGCCCTCAAGTGGCAAGAGAGTGGTATGATGTGATACCTAACTTTGGTCAGGTAGAACCACTCTTTGAGATTTTGACTTTTTAGGTAAACCTGCTGTGTGGTTACCTGAGTAACATATATTTCCATATTTGGTTGTTAGTAAAGCTATGGAAAATGGGTTTTAACTTGTGCAAATCTAATGCTTGGTACTTTGTAGCTTCCTGAATCTTGACTCTTACCATGGTTTCAAGACGCCCGATAACTTCAAAAGTGTACTTCACAGTGTCCCCTGTCATTTCCGACAGCACCTCACTGATGGGCTTAGTAAAGTCCTTGGGACTAATACACTCAGTGGCTCCTAAAGCCAAGGCCTTCTCAAATTTGTCTTTGTTAAGGTCAATCCCAATGATCCTGGAGGCACCAGCTGACTTGCAGCCCATGATGACCGACAGACCAACTCCTCCTAAGCCAAAGACAGCACAAGTAGAACCAGGGGTGACCTGTGGAGAGAAAGCCTCCTGTGAATGTTAAAGCTGAGAGCCACCAAGTATCCCCAGTATTAAATTCAGAGGATTGCTATGATGTTCTCTAGGACTGGATGAATCATCATGATGATAATGCCACAAAGAGAATTAGAAACAATAGAAAGTCTGAGAAAAGGAGAATTTGCCAAAACAAAACATTGTTCCTCAGATAAATGGAAACCCTTTCTAAATGGTGTCCTCATGCAGCCTTCCCTATGGAAACTTCCGCAGGCTCCTTGGCCTCACCCTCAGCCTCCTGTGCCTCCTCACCCTTACAGCAGGATTGACAAACACCAAGCCCTCTATTATCTCTTCTCAAATCATGCTAAATCTGTTTTAAATTCATCATGATTAACATTTTCTGAATAAGCATGACTCTGAGTCATTTGTGAATAATTTGGCTTTTCAGTAAAGTCCAACCTCCATGTTGCAATTAGATCTGATCCACATGTAGTTTCAAAAAGGAAATGTAATTAAATCAATTTTGGCATTTTAACCCAATCATATGCTACTAAAAAAGTTTCAAGATGGGTGCAGACTAACACATAATAAAATCATGGCATTTGCAGGCAAATGGATGGCATTAGAGCAGATTATGCTAAGTGAAGTTAGCCAATCCCTAAAACACAAATGCCAAATGTCTTCTCTGATATAAAGGAGGTGACTCAAAATGGGATAGGGAGGAAGAGCATGAGAAGAAGACTACCACTAAATAGGAAAGAGAGGTGGGAGGGAAAAAGAGGGAGAAGGGGAGTTTCACAGAAGATGGAAGGAGAACCTCATTGTTATACAGAATACATATATGAGGTTGTAATGAGAAAAAGAAAAAAAAGTGTGTCACATTAGATTGGATAGAGAGAAAGGATGGGAGAGGAGGGGAGGAGTAGGGGGGATAGGAAGGGCAGCAGAATAGACAATATGATTGATGTATGTACATTCCATGTATGTATTATATGTCAAAATACATTCTGCTGTCATGTATGACTAAAATAAATAAATGAAAAATTTTTTAAAAAGGTGGGTGCAGAGACACTTTACTTACAATCCCAGTGACTTGGGAGGCTGAGACAGAAGGATCTCAAGTTGCAGAACAGCCTAGGCAACTTAGTGAGACCCTACCTCAAAATAAAAAAAATAAAATAAATGGGCTGGGAGTATACCTCAGTGGTAGAGCATCCCTGGGTAAAATCCCCAGTGCCCACCCCCAGACATAAAAGCTGGATGCAGTAGCACACATCTATAATCCTGTAATCAAAGCAACTCAGGAAATTGAAGACAGAGAATCATAAAGTTGAGACCTGCCTGGACAACTTAGCGAGAACCTGTCTCAAAATAAAATTAAATAGGGCTGGGAATCTAGCTCAGAGCTAGAACAAGCCTGGGTTAAATCCCTAATGCTTAAAAAAAAAAAAAAATCCAGTCCAAAGTTATTTTCCTGCCAGAAGAACCCTATTCCAATTTTACATTAGGTAGCCAGGAGGGGGCCTGAACACAAGAGAGCCCATGGAAAGGGTGTGACCTTTATTAGGATAGTTATTTTTCCTTTTCTTAAATGCAAAGGTATATGGGAGAGCTGGGCATGTTTTCAAACCTCCAGGTACTCTGGCTCTGTCCTCCCTTGCAGGAAGTACCTAAAGAAGCAATCCACATGATATATATATATATAAGAATATGCATTGAAATGTCTGTACCTGTAAGCAGAGAGTCCACAGAAAATTTCACAGGTCTGTGCACCCACCTTTCATGATTATTGATTTTGGCAATAGCATCCTAATGCCTCAGTTCAGCTCTTGAGTTGGAGCTTCTGAATCTAGGTAATTGTTCTCTCAAGTATCATTCCGTCATTGATTCATCTGTTAGCATTACTGTTTGATTCCTGGTGATCGGCATTCTTTTTTTGTTGTTGTTGGATAAAAAAATTCTATATACTTTTTATTTTTTTCTAGTTAGTTATACATGACAGTAGAATGCACTTTAACACATTATACACAAGTGGAGCACAACTTCTCATTCCTATGGCTGTGCATGACAAATAATGGTGCTGCAACGTTCATAAAACAAACTCTCCTCAAGTTCAAGAGTCAAATAGATCACAACACAATAATTATGGGTGATCAGCATTCTTATGCCAGAAACTCAACTGCACACTCCTTGCTTTTTCTCCCATGTATCAGTTAATTCTATTGTTTACATTTAAGAGGGAATTTTTGATAGTGGTTGAATTTCAGGCTCTAGAATTAGGTATGAATCTTATGATCTAGCTCTGTCTCTGGGACCTCTTTCGCCTGCCCAGTTGAATCCCTGGGTAGCCCTAGGCTATGGACAGTCTGAGGAATATCTTCCTAACAACTAAAGAATGGAACCACTGAAGACTTCTCCCTGTGTTTAGTTGCTTATTTGTTGAGTGCTAGTTTTTTGATCCTCCTATCATTCTGCCTCTGAGTCTTTTAATGAATCATGGCCCCAATTTCTGTTAACTTGCAGACATTTCCCCTCAAACAGATTGTCCCCCTTTCCTAACCTTTCTTTTCTGAGGAATGGGAACTAGATAATAACATGTATAATGAATTATCTACATTATCAATACTGTGAAAGAAGGCCTTAGTCTGAAGTAATTATAGGTCATTTAAAATGATTTTATTATTTTAAAATATAGTAAGGCTCTACTTTTCACTATTGTTTTATTTCATGGATCTGATCTATTAGTGTTCCCCAGTTAAAAACTTTGAAGTCAAAGGTCTTCAGGACTGGCCCTTGATCAGCTCTTGGAAGAGAACTTTTGAGTCTTTGAAATATTCTGCCTGATAAGAGAGTGTAACTGAGACCTTGGGCCAAGACTTACAGTTAATGTTAACAGTGTGATTTATAATCAATTCCTATATTTTGCTTTGGGCTATTAAACTGACCTTTTTGGGGTGAGCTAGGGTCTGAGTGCTGAGGTTGGTCACATGGGTGCTGCATATCTACGTGACTGGCTCCCAATAAAGACCCTGCACACAGGTGAGCTTCCCTTGTTGGCAACACATGCATTGTTCCACACCATTACTGAGAGAATTAAGCACTGTCCTTGTAATTCCCTTGGAAGAGATTCTCAGAAGCATGTGGCTGGTTTCACTGGAACTATACCCTATGTCTTTTTCCTTTGCTGATTTTAATCTATTCTCTTTCATTGCAATAAATGATGATCAAGAACATAATAACTTGTCTGAGTTATTGAAACCTTCTTGTGAATCATTGAAACTGAGGGGCATTTGAGGGTCTGCTATTATGCCCTTATAGTGAGTTTGGCTTATTTTCATATGGGCAAACACAAAAATTTGGGTTTATTTATGTTATTTGTCTTAAAATACAAGTACCAGAAAAAAAATCTGAAAATAGCAAATTTCTTGGTAAACAGCATAACTCTGAATTATTCGTATGGTATCAACATATCAAGTACAATAAGAAAAATTACAAAGAATGAATTAAAGCTATATTGAGTGTCCGTTCTTTTACATCTATATTGGCAGAAAATTCTTAGTGGGAAATCTGAAGGAGACCTTGGAAAGGAAAGTTCCATCTCCCAGGTTTTGCCTAGAAAATCTAGAGGCAAATGGTAACAAACATGCTACTGGTGTGTATTCATGATAATACTATGCATTCTGAACTACAGACCTGTCTTGAACCCCCCCTGTTAGGAATAAATATGTCTACCTTGACATCCAGATATATTATTTGCCACAAGCCCCCTCATCTTTTTGTTCTTCCACAAATTTGGATATTCCTTTCTTTAGTTCATCCATACATCTTTTTCTTAAATTAATATTTATTAAGCTGTTACAATGGCAAGACTTCTGGCTAAACATTGGAGTAAATAAAGCAGAGTTGGTGGATGCCCTTTAGGGCTTAGAGTTTAATGGAGAAGACTGAAGATGTAGTGACACACAATATTAATGAAACAATCACTCTTTCTTGAATAATTAGAAGGGGTTGCTACTTAGATGGAGTAGACGGAGGACAAACAAAAGAACTTCTTTGAGTAAGCAGGTGATCTTTAAACTGAGAGTGATGCTAAGGAGCCATTCACAAGGACTGAGTGATCAAGTATTCCAGACAGTCAAAATAATCTTGTACAACAATTACTCTTGTTGTACAAGATTATTTTGTAAAAAAAGAATTTTTTTTTTTACAAAATAATCTTGTAAAAAAAGAATTTTCAGAGATGGTCAAGAAGAGCAAGGAAGAAAATAGTATGAAATATATTACATCTATCCAGTTAAGTTGTGATGATGGGACTGAGTTAAAGAAAATGGTGAGATTTAACATATAACTCATAGGTACAGTCAGTGGGACATGTAGTTGAACTGGATGTCAGGTAATGGAGAGAGGGAGCAAATATATTTGATGGGCAGACAGAAAGAAAAATTAAGAACTTAGTTTTGTACATAGTTTGAGATATCTGTGAGATGTCTACATGGTGAAAACAGGGAGTTGGATAAAAAGTTCTGAGGCTCTGAGATGGTTTGAAATATAAATTTGGAATCAACTAATACATTCATAACTTATAAAGACTTTGGAATTGAATGAGAACACCACAGTATGGGGATTTATTGAATTTTTAGCAGTATTTTACTCTTTATTAATGATTTGTAATAACAACATAAAACTGACCTATACACCCCTAATTCAGTATTAATCCATTGTTAGAATGATTTTACTCTTTATGAGTATTTTGTAATAGCAACATAAAACTGACTTATGTAGTCCTAATCCAATATGTCTGGTGTCCTTATAAAATAGGGAAATTTGGATATGAAGACACACATACAGGGAAGATGATGTGAAGAGACACAGGAAGATGATGTTCATCTATCTGCAGGTCAATAGGAAAGGCCTGTATTATATCAACCCCTTGCAGCCCTCAGAAGGAGCCAGCCCTGCCAACATTTTAATTATGGACCCCTGGTTCCAGAACTGTGAGACAATAAACTTTTGTTGTTCAAGCTACCCATCTATAGCACTTTGTTATAGCAGCTCTAGCAAACTCATAATCAATACTAATATACTTTTAAAAACAGATTAATTTTAGATGCAAATCTAAATTTTAGAAATTGAACCAAAAGAAGATGCAAAGGAATCGAAAAGTAAATCTAGAAATTTTGTTTCCATTTATTTGGAAATAAAATTCCCAGTCTGTTTCTTTTTTCCCCCCAATTGACATGGTATTATATAGAAATAGCCTTGAAAACATGCAACATGTTTTCAGAATCTTTTGCTTGTCTGTTTATTTTCAAATATCTTTAGGATCCCAAGGGAGGAATAAATGAGGTAAGTAAGTAACAAAAGGTGGAAGAAACGAGTTTACGCTGCTTCTTACCTTGCCGGTCTTAATAGCAGCCCCATAGCCAGTGGAAAATCCACAACCAATTAGACAGACTTTCTCAGCAGGAGCTGCAGCATCAATCTTGGCAACGGAAGATTCATCCACCACTGTGTATTCAGTAAATGTACTGGTGTTCATGAAGTGATAGACTGGTTTACCCTTGCACATAAATCTGGTAGTGCCATCGGCCAGTACTCCACGGCCAGCAATACTATTTGATAAATCAGATGCACATATTAGCTCATTCAATTAAAAGATTAGCACAGGAACAACTTACGTGACATTAGGATAAGAATGACCGAAACCTACTCGCTCCTGATGCAAAGATTGCCCTCTGGGTTACGGCAAGCATTACATTCTCTACATTGTGGCACAAAGAGAGGGATGACTTTGTCACCTAGAGGAAAAACATAAGGTGTTGTTCATCAATATTAAAATGTGAAATAAAAAGTGCATCGAGCCCATCCTACATATAACAATTTCTTTTTTTTATCTTTTTTTTTAATTGTTGGTCGTTCAAAACATTACATAGTTCTTAATACATCATATTTCACAGTTTGATTCAAGTGGGTTATGAACTCCCAACTTTACCTCGTATACAGATTGCTGTATCACATCAGTTACCCTTCCATTGATTGACATATTGCCTTTCTAGTGTCTGATGTATTCTGCTGTCTGTCCTATTCTCTACTATCCCCCCCCCCTTCCCTCCCCTTTTCTCTCTCTACCCCTTCTACTGTAAATCATTTCTTCCATTTGTATTATCTTGTCTTACCCCTCCTTTCCTCTTATATATGATTTTGTATAACCCTGAGGATCGCCTTCCATTTCCATTCGATTTCCCTTCTCACTCCCTTTCCCTAATAATTTCTTAAAAGTATTATAAGCACCAGGAAATTTGCATGCTAAAATTTGAGATTTTGCCAAATTTAGCATTACTTAGTCCAATCCATTCTCTTTGTGTCCTTTTGTCTCCCTAAAGTGGGTTAAGATTTTAATTCCTAGTGTGTGCTATTTCTTTAATAGAAGCCTACTTAATGCAAAGTTGGGATTGACATCTGCATACCTGGTTTCACTGTAGTGACTCCTTCTCCAATGCTCTCCACGACTCCAGTTGCTTCATGTCCCACAATTACTGGAAATTTAGAAACAATTGCTCCTTTTATCACATGGTCATCTGTGCGACAGATTCCTGTGGCCAAAATCTGTGTTAAAAACAAAATTACCAACCAGAAAACTGTAAACTGGTCATTTTACAGTTGGATAATATTAAACTGGCTCTTGAAGAGATTGTAATTATTTTTTCCAAGTCATTACCTTATTTAATAGTGTTACTCTTAGAAGATTCTAAGCCAAAAAGCAACCATCAGACAAATTCTTCCTGTTAAGGAATTTGTAATATTACTGACGCTGGCTCTACATTAAATCTTGATGACTTTTCTATAGTAAACTGGTACTCTTTCGAGGGAACCAGAATAGAGATATTACCATATAACTCACATCAGGTGATTTTTTTTAAAGAGAGGGAGAGAGAGGGAGAGAGAGAGAATTGCTAATATTTATTTTTTAGTTATCGGTGGACACAACATCTTTGTTTGTATGTGGTACTGAGGATCGAACCCGGGCCGCACGCATGCCAGGCGAGCGTGCTACCACTTGAGCCACATCCCCAGCCCCAAATCAGAAGATTTTTTATAGTAAGTCCTCCTAGGACTCTCTTAATAAAGAGTAGAGGGAATGGTGTATAAAAAGACAAATGAGGAACAAAATTTTATTGTAGTATTCAAATGATGGAAGAGGGTCAGAGAGATTGGCAGCAATCCCTATTCAGTCACAGGTGTCCAAACCAAAAGTCAGACTCTGTCCACGGGACTAGGGGAACACCCCAGGAAGCTGTCATTTCCCAGGCACAAATGAGTTCCTCATTTTATGTGAGAATTTACCTCCATACAATTTGACTCCAGAATATTTTTAAAGAAATCATTAGTCATGACTATTAATCATTTTTTAATCAATACAAATGAAAACTTTAATAGATCAGATGGATTAGCACTGTTGTCTTATTAATTGGTAATAAACTTTTAATTTCACAGTAAGGCAACGATTACTTTAACAATATACAAGAACCAGTGGCAGAAATAAGACCGAAAACTTGGCAAACATCTCTGTTTAATACTCTAATCTCCCAACAATAATTTTCTCAATATTAGTGTGATAAAATTACAGGCTTATATAGTCTGAGGTTCTTTCTGACCTTAATGCGAACTTCTTTAGCCTTTGGCGGGGCAACTTCTATTTCCTCAATGGAGAAGGGTTGATTCAGTTCCCATAGCACAGCAGCTTTGCACTTAATGACCTAAAAAATTGGCAAATGTTATAATACTTCCTAATTATCTTTTTATAAAATATATATATATAATTATAAATAAAATAGCCTCCCTAAATTTTATATATATGTGTGTGTGTGTGTGTGTGTGTGCACGCGAGCGTGCACTTGTGTATGTATATATATATATATATATATATATATATATATATATATACACACAGAAGATTGAATGCAATATTCTAATTTGCTCAGATGTTTTCCATCAAACACCAGAATTTTAAGGCTTATAGATTATTTGTGGATATCTTTACTTATGGTATGGGAAATGCAGCCCAGAAAGATAAAATGATTGTTGATCCATTCATTGTCACATAGCACACAGGGTACAGGGTTGGACTAGATCTGAGGTGCACTTCTTCCAACCCATTTTTTAACACAATATTCCAATAAACAGGTTTATTTTGTTACAATTATAAATGCATTAATTAATAAAGCTGTTGTCAATGCATTCTTTATTCACAAAAGCAAATCAATAAAATAAAATGCTGCAGATTTATCCACAAGATTTTAAGCCAGTGTTTAATTGCTGAGTATAATCACATTGCAATGGTGAAGAAGCTAGAGAATTAACATATAAGAGGTAAAGGGAACTGTGAACATCAGGAAGTACAGGCACTGTGACTACATTCCTGGATGATGTCATCTATGTCCATGTAAACTGTTTTGTACCAGGCTGAGTTTTCACTAGTAGGTCTTAATCATTAGGCAAGTTAGAGATTTTCATCTTGAGAAGTGGGAAATACTCAGTGATTGGCCTTCAGTTAGTTAACTGGATTTGCTAGAGTTATCCAATTAAATGGTTTATCAATATTATCAAAATTTTATGAGATAGAAAAAACAGAGAGAGTCTCCCATCTTCTCACTCGCAAATCTGTCTAGGATGCCTATAAAATATTTAATTACACATCAGCCTTCCTATGTAATGATTCCTGTCCTTCTTAATGATGATTGTTATGATGATGAAGAGTCACAAATTCTTAAGAGACTTAATGTATTAATTAGACCTAAGCGATTTGTTGCAGCATTAATTTTAGGAATTACAGCATTAATAGGAATTACTACTACTTTAGCTTTATCTACTACAGTTTTAGTTAAAGAAATTCATACTGCTCATCATGTTAATAATTTATCTCATAATGTTTCATTAGCATTAGCTATTCAAGAAAAAATAGATAAGAAATTGAAGGTCTGAATTAATGCCTTAGAGGAAGCTTTAATATATGTAGGAAACCAGATTCAAAATATAAAAACTCAAATGACAACCAAATGTTATGCTAATTTCAAATGGATCTGTGTTACTCCCTTAAAATATAAACAAACTAAATATGGATGGAATCAAGTACAAACTCATTTATTAGGGATTTGGAATAAAACTGAAATAGGCCCCAATATATAAGATTTACAACAACAAGTAAAAGATATAAGTAAGGCTTATTTATCTACTGACTCTACAGCTGACTTTGCTGCATATTTATACAATAATGTACAAAAAACTATTTCCAATAGTACTTGGTGGTCATATATGATTAATATTGGTTTTGGATTTTTATTCATTGTTCTTATTTGTCTCATTCTTCCAGTCCTCTTCGGACTTGTCTGGAAGTCAATCGGAAGCATCTCCATTCAAGTTGAACATCTCAAATTAAAAAATAAAAAAGACGGAAATGCTGCGCTCCTCCCGACTCAGGCAAAGGCAAGGCCCTACTGAAGTGGATGGCGCAAGGTGTCCATCCTCTGGAGGAGCGCAGTATGTTTCTGGGAATGGGCTGGTTTGCTTTTGTATTCCTTTAATAAGTATAGTCGTGACTTCTCATATGACCATTAAGTATGAAGGAAAAAACATGACTTTCCCAATTAATGCAACTGCTTCTAAAGAATGAATCTGTTTGCTCTAAATGCGATGATTCAGCTGTGCAACGTAAATTGTTGATGTTTAATGAAAAAAACCCTGTAGGAAAAACAGTCAAGGAAGTTTTTGAGCAATTAAATTAAAATCTAGAGAAGAAGAATTAATGTTAAGAAGACAGATTAGTGCTTAGTACTGGGCAACTTGTTCTTGTTTCTGTGCACAATGGTTTGGTGCTCTTACTCTTGTTTGATTAAAATTAGTAGCCTCTCTTTTCAAGTTAACCACTTGTCATAGCTGTGGTGCCGAATCTAGTCAGTAAGTCAGAAAAGAATAGTCAAGGTATAGGCTAATAGTCTGGGACATTTCTAACTATTATTAAAAGCTAACTAAGCAGAAACAGCTCAAAGCAAAGTGCGAACTGAAAGTAAAAATGCTTGCTTATGCATAAGCCAAGATACATTCTTCTTATATAATTGTAGCTACGTAATATTTTGTTTCTTTGAATAATGATTCCTGTTTTGTAACCACAAATTACTGTGAGCCTGCCAAAATGAAAAGTATATATGATTAACTTCACAAGTAAAGATTGGGATTCAGCACCTTCACTCTTGTGTCTGTGTTGTTTCTCCGCTGCCTTTCACTGACTCCTGACCATCAGTTTGTCTCCTGAGACCCCCTGCTGGAGCTGGACTCTGACAGTTCTGATGCAAAATGAGTTATTTCATGTTTTACTGGTCAAATAACCCTCCTAGAGCTTAAGAGATTAATTGTAAGAAATTATAGGCTGGGGACAGATGGATGACTGAAAGCCATCAATCTTTCAATTTAATATTCACCCTCTGCCTTGCTAAGGAAACTGTTAAGAGTCACAGTGTAGTTTGGACCAACAATGAATTTAGAAGCCTCACACAACATTATCAAACTGAGTCCAGATGGATTCTTAGTTAAGATTTATTTTTAAAATTAATTTTTTTATCAATCAGTGAAGAAGTAAACATTAATAATAAAGAATATGGAGGAATTTTTATGTTTAAGAATGACAGGGAATGATCCTACATATAGAAGGCCCAGAAAACTTCACCAGAAAACTCCTAGAACTCATAAATGAATTCTGGGCAGTAGCAGGATATAAAACCAACACCCATAAATCAAATGCATCGCTATACACCAATTAAAAATTAGCTCAAAGAGAAATCAGGAAACCCATTCCATTCAAAATAGCCTCAAAAATAAAACAACAAAACAAACAAAACTGGGAATCAATCTAACGAAAGAGGTGAAAAATATCCACAATGAAAACTAGAGAACACTAAGAGAGAAATTGAAGAAGACCTTAGAAAATGTAACAATCTCCCATATTCTTGGATAGGCAGAATTAATATTGTCAGTGGCCATACTACCAAAAGCACTAAACAGATTCAATGCAATTCCCATCAAAATTCCAGTGACATTCTTCATAGAAATAGAAAAGGTAGACATGAAATTTATTTGGAAAAATAAGAGGCCTATAACACACAAAGCAATCCTTAGTGAGAAACACTTAGTGAAGTAGGAAGACTTACAATACCAGACCTCAAAATATACTACAGATATATAGCAACAAAACAGCATGGTTTTGGCATCAAAACAGGCATGAATAGAAGATATAGAGACAAACTCACACAAATAAAGTTATCTCATACTAGACAAAGGCACCGTAAACATACATTGGAGAAAAGATAGCCTCTTCAATAAATGATTCTGGGAAAACTGGAAATCCATATGTATCAGAATGAAATTTAACCCCTATCTCTCACCCTGCACACAACTCAATTCAAAATGAGTCAAAGACTTAGTCATTAGACCAGAAACCCTGCATCTATGAGAAGAAAATGTAGGCCCAACTCTCCATCATGTCGTCTGAGGAAAGACTTCTTCAACAAGACTCCTAAAGCACAAGAAGTAAAATCAAGAATCAATAAATGGGATGGTATCAAACTAAAAAAACTTCCTCACAGCAAAGAAAACAATCAAGAGCATAAAGAGAGAGCCTACAGATGGGAGAAAATCTTTACCACCTGCACTTCAGAAACAGCATTAATCTCTAGGATATATAAAGAACTCAAAAAACTTACCATCAAAAAAAGAAATAACCCAATCAATAAATGGGGAAAAGAACTGAACAGACAATTCACAGAAGAAAAAATATGAATGGCCAAAAAAATATTAAAAAATATTCAACATCTCTAGCAATCAGAGGAATGCAAATTAAAACTACACTGACATTTCATCTCATTCCAGTCAGAATGGCAATTATCAAGAATACAAGTAACAAATGTTGGCAAGGATGTGGGAAAAGGAACACTCAGACATTGTTGGTGGAACTACAAATTAGTGCAAGCACTCTGCAAAGCAGTATGAAGATTCCTCAAAAAACTAGGAATAGAACCACCATTTGACTCAGTTATCCCACTCCTCAGTATATATCCAAAAGCCTTAAAATCAGCATACTACTGATTTTCCCCCATATCAATGTTTATAGCAGCATGATTCACCATTGCTAAGCTATAGAACCAGCCTAGGTGCCCTTCAACAGATGAATGGATAAAGAACTTGTGGTATACATACACAATTATTACTCATCCATAAAAAAAGAATGACTTTATGCCATTTTCTGGTAAATGGATGGATCTGAAGACTATCATGATCAACGAAATAAGCTAATCCCCCCAAAACAAAAGCAAATGTTCTCTTTGATATGTGGATGCTAACCCACAACAAAGGATGCAGGGTGAGGGAGACTAGAAGTTCAGTGGATTAGACAAGAGGGAATGAAGGGAAGGGAGGAGATAGAAATAGGAAAGACAGTGGAATGAATCTGACATGACTTTCTTATGTACATGTATGAATACACCACAGTGAATCTCAACAGCATGTATACCCACAAGACTGGGATCCTAATTAGAATAAGATATAGTCCATGCTTATATAAATAAATCAAAATAGTTCCTACTGTCATATATAACTAAAAAGAACAAACAAAATTTAAAAAATAAAAAGCTTTGTTAAGAAAAAGAAAGTATAATGGGGAAAAATCATAAAGGAAACAGCAACTCCTCAGGAAGAAAAAAAATTATGTGTTGAAAAACAGTAAGTAAACTTTCCAAATTGAAAACAAGTAAGACTAGAAAAATCCTTAAAACAAAATTACAAGTTACCTTGCTTAACATCCACAGTGTTTAATCAAATTTTTAAGGAAAGCATGAAGACCACCAGTCTTCCCATTCCTAGCCTCCCTCCTATACACGAACTCCAGGAGATCCACTTACAGTGTATGTCAAGATACTGATGAATGTCTTGACACTTTTCCCACCTAATTCGATTTTTAAAATCTACCTTAAGGAAGTGCTAAATGCCCCAAAACCTTAATACATAGTTGAGGTCATCATAGCACTATTTATAAAGAGAAATCTGTAAACAAAAACAGAATGATGAAATTAATTGTAGTAAATCTAGAAATCAGTCTTACATGTTTCAAAAATGTTTACGTTACTTTTAATAAATTGGAAAAATACTAATGTTAAGTTGGAAAATAGGATAAAAATACTTATATGCTGTGTGAGTTCAGCCACATAAAACATGGATAGAAAAATATATGAGGGAATCAAAGCAAAAACAAAATAAATGGTAGTCTGTGGATGTAAGATTATGCTTTATTTTTTACCCTTATATTTTCTAATTATCCAAATTTTCTAGAAAGATCTTGGTATAGGCTAAATTGAGTTTCCTTAAAATTAGTATGTAGAACCTCCAATCCTCAGTACCTGGGAATATGACAAACTACCGCAGACTGGGTGGTTACCTATTTGGAGATAGGGTCTTTCAAGATGTAATTAAGTTAAAACGAAGTCATGAGGTTAACCCAAATGCAATAGGATGGTGGCTTTATAAGAAGAGATGACACAAAGGAAGACCATATGAAGACAGCAAGAAGAGGTCCATCTACAAGTTAAGGAGAAAGGCCTCAGAAGAAACCAAGCTCATTGACACTAGTTTTCAAAATTTGAGTTTCCAGATTTATGAGAAAGCAAATTTCTGCTGTTTAAGCCATCCAGTCTGTGGTATTTGGATTTTCCAGCCTTAGTGAACTCAGACAATTATCTTTCACTTTTTAAAAAAATAAAAATAACTTAAATATAAAGAGGAAATAACAGTAATCCTCAATATAAAAAGAACCTTTTCTTTCATGATCAATACTGAAATCCTAAAGTAACTTGAAAAATATGTAACCTTCTGCAAATCAGACTATTGCATGGGTATCACCATATCAAAATTAAATAGCTATTATGTCACATGTACTATACACTGTATTATTAAATAAAATTAGAAAGTGCTGCTTGGAGGGCACTGAGTTCTCTATCATTGGTCTGACAGCAGTTAGATGCCCACCTTACAGAGATAGCAGAGCTGGTTCTTGAGCATTTATTGGTTGAACGGAGTTGCAATTTTTTTTTAAGATTCCTTTCAACCATAAGATTCATTGATTTCTATGGGTAAAGTGTCTAGCTTATGTAATGAAAAATTAATTCTTCAAGTTATTAGTTTTGCTGGATTTCTGACCCAAACTAGAATCAATCTCTCTCTCTCTCTCTCTCTCTCTCTCTCTCTCTCTCTCTCTCTCTCTCTCTTTCTCCCCCTCCCTCCCTCCCTCTTCCAGTTCTGTTCAATTCTGGGAAAAATTATTTCGAATTCTAACATCATAGGGCCTCCTACCTTATCACATTATCCAGACCTCAAATGCCATCTTTATTTTTCCAAAACCTTAAGTTTGGCTAAATGAAAAGTTGTTTAAATAAGAATAAAACATCTAAAGGCACATGACACTTTCTGAAATTGTGTACCCATTTAAAGCAAGAAACTATACAGATGTACTTGCAAAAGATAAATAAAATGTTAAAGTTATTTCTGAAGTTACTATCAACTCTGGCTGTTAGTTTTTAAAAAGGATACCACTTACTCTACAATGTGGTCTTATTTACAAAGAATTTTTATGCTTATGTTTTGATAGAAAATACGTTCTTTTTTGTAGTTTTGTATCTTTTTCATTTTCTCATAAATTCTACATATTTATTTTCTTTTTAAATTTTTTTTATTTGTTTTAATTAGTTATACATGACACTTTGATATATCATAATAGATGGGGTATAATTTCTCATTTTTCTGATGGTACATGTTGTAGAATCACATTGCTCATACAGTCATATATATACATAAGGTAATAATGTCTGTTTAATTCTACTATCCTTCCTATCTCCTTATCCCCTCCTCTAATTTCACTCCCCTCTACTTATCTAAAGTTATTCTATTCTGCCCTAGTGCCCCCCCACCCCCTTGTGAATTAGCATCTACATATCAGAGAAAACATTTGGCCTTTGGTTTTTTGGGATTTGCTTATTTTGCTTTGAAATTATGGCATTTGCCGGTAAATGGATGGAGTTGGAGAATATCTTTCTAAGAGAATATACATTCTTAAGAAACCTTAAAAGCATGATACTTTTGTTGTACACTTTGCATTCCATTGATTTGGCATTTTTCATTGTCAATGGCAGGACGTTTTTCTAACAGTGCCCAAGAAGGAGATGCACATATTCTATTGAACTACTGAGGTGAACGCAGTACATGTTAAAAGTCTATTCAAATTCTCCTCATAGAAATATTTTACTTAACAGAGAAAATGTCCAGTTATTCTGAGTTAAATCATGAATAAAGTCAGTATTCTATTTTCCTCTGTGTTTTACCGGGAAGCCTTCCATATGTGTTTTAAAATTAACCTCGATTTTATTGACACTGTCTGTAACAGTTTACCTAGGATTTCCCCCAGTATGCCTACTCAAGAGGCACGTCATTCCTCAAGAAATATCCCCAAATGTTTAATTAGTTTACTGGATTCGAAAGTTCTAAAAGCCAAGCCCACACCATTAGCCCACCATAATGAGATACAGGAACATTTTGCTTACTTTTCCAGCAGTGCTCATCCTGTCTTTCTCTTGGCTCTGTTTCTGTAAACAGGGACGTTTTCTGACTGATGCTCAGTTCATTCTGCTGCAAATGATAGCATTCTTCTGCCTTCAAATAAATAGTCCCCAAAGTTCTGCCTTCAGCAATATGATTCACACTCTTCAAAACTTTCCATTGTCCCAGGAGCCCCACCCTTTTGCAGATTGAGTTGTGAAAAGAAAGACAGTTAACTCTTATGTTCAAACCCAAATCAGGGATCTAACAAAGACAGAACAATCAAACCTATTGAAAAGGGCTGATGGCATGTTATCCTTCTTATTTTCGAGGATATAAAAGCAAGTCAGAGGTAGTAAGAGGAGGGGAGGAGTGGAAAGGGGAATGATATTGACCAAATTGTATTATTATATTATGTGCATGTACAAATATGTAACAACAAATCTCATCATTATGTACAACTAAAATGCACCAATAAAAAAGGTGAAAGAAAAAAGAAGCAAATCAGGTTAGTTCAATTCAACATGATTTATTTTTTTAAAAAAGTGTACTTCTATGTGCAAGCTGCTCTGAGGGGCTTTGCTGATTTTAAGGGCATGTGTACATTTATATTTATACTCTACCTCATGTTTACAAAGATTTGTAGTTTATGGGATATGTAAAATTAAGTAGAAATGAAAATAGGACTAGGAAATTTTTTTTAAATGATTGGGAAAGAGGAGTTGGGAGTATACAGAATATAGATATGAATGATCAGGGTTTCCAGGTATCTTGGAGAAAGAAAGTTAAGTAAAACTCATTGTCCCTGAAAATAAGCTTTCATTAGACTCCAAATCACATGGTTCACAGGGTTGTCTCAAGTGGTTGTGTAGTGTGTGCATGCACATGAGTAACCACTGTAGGAGCTGAAAAGAAATGAAAATCCACCTGCACATAAGCCCTTGACTTCAAAGGGCTTCCATTTACTTGGGCAAGTGCTTAGCTCTCCTGAAGTAATGGTTTCACCATGACAGGCTACTATTTCCTAGTATAAAATGCAATGACACCAGAATCTCCTGAATCTGCTAGCAGTTTTTATAGAACAGTACCCAAGATAGATCTTATTTTTTGCAGTGTTTGATGGTCACACTGGTACACCAAAACCAAACACTCTACACAAAGGAGATTTTAGTCCTGTGGAATGATCCAATGAAGCAGGTTTTTCTAAATCTTCAGAAAAAGTTATTCAGATTATGACCTCAGAACACTGACTCTTATCAACCGAGAAGAAGTAATGTGCGAGAGTTTTTTTTTTTTCCAGATAACATGCATGAACAAAACTTTCCTTTTGAAAAATGGGTATAAACTGTGCCATAGATCTCTCAACTAGCATAGTAAATGTTGTAGGTCTGATTTAAAATATATGTGGTTAGTAATTCTAATTCATTAGTTAACTTCAATCCAGCAGGTAAAAGCACTGCCATGTGATCAGGTCTGTGTGTAAGTACCATTGTTTTCACCTTTAAGTGCTGAAGAAACCCATCACGTCTTTTAGTTATTGCCAGAAAACAAAGAAGCACGTACGGACAAAGGTAGACATTTTGAGTCTCATCCTTCAAACTAATCTTGATCTCAGTAACAAAATCTGTTTACTTACAAAGGCAAAGAAGTACCAGTATGAGTGGTGCCAGCACAAACACAGAATTACTCAACTGATAAACGCCTCTTCCAGGCTTGACTAAACTTTATATAGCACATTAATTTAAAAGTTAAAGTTTTCAAAAATGAATGTATCAAGTGAAGCTTAATCTCTGAATAATTTCATATGGTTCTAATTCTTCTCATTGAGACCTCGTTGGATGATAAAATTTCAAGACATGAAACTTGGAACATACCCCCAGTTTTTAAAAAAATGGACTAAAAAAGTCATGGCTATGTTGACTATGTGTACATCCTAATTTTAAGTTTGGAGAATTTACCAGATGAATCTTCCTCATAAACCCTATTCCAGTATTTCTGTGAAATCCTGAGGCCAAATTCACAGGCTGGTTGTACTCCCCAAATTTACAAGAGTCTCTAATGAAAAGGGCTTATCTCAATGCACCCATGCAACTCTAATTTGCAGGGGTCAGAATTAAAGGGAACTTGGAAGAACTTTAAGAAAACAGATTTAGAATCAATATACTTGGTTCACGGCCTGGATTCTTGCTTGAATATATATATGACTTCAGCTCCCACATTTATTAACTGGGAAATACAGAAATATCTTTGGAGTTATGAGAGCAAGGCTTATGTATCAGTTCAGTAGTGGCTATTAAGTGCTTGTGGAAAGACCCTAAGCCCTCTAAATGCAGAGGGAGGAAATCATACCCATTTGGGGGCTTGCTGTGAAGACTAAGTGAGGTAATGTGTGTGGAAGTATTTACCAAACTGTGGGACACTCAGTAAAGGTTAATAGAGGGTCTTGAATGCACATGGAAATGAAACTGAATTTATTATTGAATGATTCTTCATAACAGAAATAGTTATGTAATATTAATTGCTGAATGATAGACAACTGTTCATCACCCAGCATTGTAGTAAATACAGCTGCTTTTTCTCTGTCTTAGCTAACACCAAACCTTGAGGATGGGGTTTTATTCTGGCCTTTGTTCCTAAAATTTTCTCTCACACCCTACAAACTCAGGTAGTAAGTCATGCAGCCAGGTGTAAGCTGAAACTCACCCTTTCTACCTGCAGCTATGCCAAGCCATGCAGGGATGGGGCATGCCCAGGGCAGGGCAGAGAGAGGCACCTGCAGCTCTCCCCTGATAGGTGAAGCTCATGCTAATCCTTTTTTCTAGTCATTCTGTGCCAGCTCTCAGGTCTGCATTGTGAGATTGTTTGTGCTTGGCAGTTTCAGAAAATTTTCGTTCGCACGCACACCCTTGTCAAGAAAAGAATCCAAAGGAGATTTTTCATAACAAGGCAAGGACTTCACATCTGCTCCACATAAACTTTCCATTTCACTCAGCTTACCAGCTGAGTGTGCAGGCTGATGAGAATTTCAATTTAAGGAGTCAAGCATTGTGAGAACAAAAAAAGTCCCTACTCCCATGCCACTCTGACTCTCTCTCTCTCTCTCTCTCTCTTTTTCCTTTCTTAATTTTTTTAAAGAAAAAGGACAGAAAAAAATTCCCCATATTCCAGGCTCAGGACACATTGAAAAATGACTGGGCACCAAGGCCTAGTTCTTCACAGAGACTGAGAAGGACACATATCAAAATATCATAGCAGCTAGGAAGAGAGTATCTCTAGAACCAGAAGACATAAGGTAGGGTCTTGGAAGAAGGCAGCCATGTCTCTGAGAGGCATTCATGTCATTAAGTTAAGTTCATGACGTCTTGTCTCTTTGCATCTATTTGCAGAGTTCCACCTCTGGGTTTATCTCAGTAAAATATGAAATAGGATTCCAGAATTTTAGCACCAGAGATAGCTGAGGACCACTTCTCCAACCTGGAGGTTCACACCATATTCAGAGGGAACCCTCAGAAGGACCTTGGTTGCAGCAGTGTGATAGGTCAGGGAGGTACAGGAATAAGCTCACACACACCTATCCCACCAGGACACTAGCAGTTTTGCTTTAACCTGGCTTATATTGACAAATCCTTCCTTAAGAAGAAGAGGTTCTTTTGTGAGTCCATTAGTGAGGGAAAGTACCGTGTTTCTTGAAGCATGGATGCAGAAATATGCATGAAACCATTTCGACTAATTTGGTCTTAGTATAAAAAAGTAATTTCTAATCTTCCATAAGTTGGTTTGCTATAGTTTCAAGCTGCTTGTCATTAAAAGGGTAGAGATGTCTGCAAGTTACAACACAAACTAAATTTCTACACCATTGAAGAGGTTAGACAAACATCAGTATTATCTAGACATGAAACATAAGAACTGATATTTAGAAATGCTGGCGACATTGAAGTTATTCACATCTAGGCTCAAGCCTACACAGGTTGTGGCTTTCTTCATTTACTGCCATGCACTGCCATTTCTGGCTGTTTAGAGAGGCCAGAAAAGCCAAACTTCAATCAACATTTCCCAGAATCTAAACAGAAAGTCCCTGTGGGATCCAAGTCTTCAAAAATAATCCTATCATATGAACCTTGAAGTTCAGGAGTGTTTACAAGTATGGGCGAGGAAGAAGAAAGAAAGAAAGACCAGACACAAACACCAATTTGATAAAATTTTATAAGTGGTATAAAAACACAACTTCCATCAACCTCTTAATTGTTTTCTTCCAGCTGATGGAGACAACAATGAGAGCTTCAATGCTATTTGACTCTCCCAGGCACAATGGAAACACTGTTGTCACGGTGAATCAGCTATTTCTGCTTTGCTGCTCCACCCAGGCATTTTATATGATCTCTACAATTGTTAGAGGGTAAATCCAGAATATGTTGAATCTCATCTGTCCCTGGTGTAACCTCACTAAGGTTATTTTGGGCCAAGAAACTTTTTGCTTTGAAAATTCAAGAGCTGATTATATCAGTGTGTTTGAGTTTTATTAGATTCTGAAGTATGATTTGCACTGATCATGCTCATGAAAAATAATTTGTAAATAATTGATAAACTCATTAATAATTTAAAATCTCTTAATCCATAAAGCCTGGCACTAAGACTTTGAATAGATATAACATGATGAATGGCTATAATATTCAAAATATTTGTTGACCTGAAGACATGGGCACTAATCAATCTGAATGAATTCACAGCCCATTATAATAGATGACAGCCTAAGTTCTCTGTACCTTTGGGGTTATTACTTGTAGAGTAGATCTGGTTGTTAGTAATGGGCAAGAATGATACTTACTAAGAGTAAGGCATTTTATTCTAAAGCAATGTTTCTCAACTTTGGCTACATATTAGAAAAATTTCTGGGAGACAGTTAAAAAGCACTAGAATGACTTCCCACATGATTTCCTCCTTCATTTAAACACAATGTTTGAGACATCTTCCCAATTGATTTTGATATGAAGTTGATATGGGAACCAGTTTAGCAGTGTCATCAAATGAAGCATAGTCAAGCATGCTGTCAATCTTCTGCTAATGGGCCACGAGACTGACATCATTACTGAGAGTGTTTAGAAACTTCTAGAGCAATTGGACAAATTAAGTTCATGTTTGTTCAAATCCGGTGGGAAAAAAAGTACTTATGTTTTGTATATCTTTGTTCTATTTTTAATAATTAA